TCCCAGTGGGGGGAATCAAACTCCCAACCTCCAACTTTGCCGACAGAGACCTAAGCCACCGAGCTGTCCAGCCAGCTTAATAATTGCATGCCATCAAGGTGATTCCGTCTTGTGGCAACCCTTTTCAGATTTTTTAAGGTCATGAAGACATTTGCCAAGGCCACCCAGGCTGGCTCCTACTCCCAGGGAGCCCCGTGGAGAACGGAATTCCCAACCTCCGGCTCTGCAGCTGAGAATCATAAGCCACGTCTGTGTATCCTCTACCTAGAAAACCCCAGGAAAGGTTGCCGTAAATCAGAAATAAAGTCAGAATTGACTTGGAGAAGTTCTGAAAAATTTGTCTTTAGAGCCGCTGTTTGGGTCTGAAAGTAAAACCTAGAAAAGCTACATAGCATTTATTTTGTCCTGTTTTTTTCTGCTGAAACCTCTATGGGCCTTAGGTTATATATTCCCTTTTCCATTTATCAAGTAGCCTATCCTATCCTATGAGTTCTTATCCTGTGCTTGTCTATTCTATACCTCTTTGCTAGGATAAACTGAATGCATCTCTCTGTTTGAGAAAAGGTATATGGTGATTTTTTAAAATGTGCATTACTAAACCCAACATGCATTCATGCGTGCTGCGTGTTTTCATCTCGGAAGCTCCTGCTTTTCCTTGGTGGCCTTCCCTGTGTAGGATTTTAGACCGAAATATGTTCAGCAGAGAAGGCCTGTCGTTTTGTAAAGGTTTGCGGTGCAAAAATAACAATGGTAATAATAGCTGTTCATGTTGTCTCTCTGTGATCCTTACACCCAACCCTGCAAGTTAAGTCAGTTTGCCCCTTCCAGCGCTAAGAGGATGATGATGTGGCCGGCAGCGCAGGAGTGGGACAAGGATAAGATGGTTTGTTTCAGTCTGCATGGCGTGTATGTGATAAAGGGGAAATTCATACCGGGAGTTGCTTATCTGTAGACTCCAGTCGTGATCACAGTTAGTATAGAGTAAGCTCTGCTTACACTGTGGAACGCACATCAGCAATGATGGGATATACAGTGGTGCCTCGCATTATGTTAATTCGTTCCAGCGAAATCGCTGTAGAACGAAAACATCGTAAAGCGATTTTAAAAAGCCCATAGAAATGCCTTGAAACCTCTTCAAGGCGTTCCTATGGGCTTGAAACTCACCGTCCAGCGAAGATCCTCCATAGCATGGCCATTTTCGCTGCCCGTGCAGCGAGTAATCCATCCCAGAAAACAGCGGGCGGCCATTTTTTTTAACCCGGCGGCCATTTTGAAACCGCTGATCAGCTGTGCGAAAATCTTCGTTTTGCGATAATCAGTTAGCGAAACAGGGAACCGCTCATCGCAAAGCGAAACAAGCCCATAGGGGACATCGTTTTGCGATTGCAAAATCTTCAACGTTTGTCGTCAAACGAAGTGCTCATCTTGTGAGGCACCACTGTAAATGCAATGAGTAATAGATGCAAATTTAACTGGCGCTGCCTTAGCTCAGTGAGTTGGGGCATCTAGCTATGGAATGGCAGGTTGGGAGTTCAAATCCTTCTGTGCTTCCAAGGAGGGGGGGTCAGGTGTGGGCACCTAGAGCATATGTGGCTGATGGAGTTACTTGCGCTACTCGCTTACGTGGTGAGCTGCCTAAGAGTCTCAGTGCATGACTGGAAGGAGGGGCTGAAAAAGCACTTCTGAGTATTTTGTCCCCGGAATGATCTTCATAAGCTGGATGTGGCGTTCTGGCACGTATTTAGTGTTCAGAATGCGGCTGGATATTCATTCGCCTGTGTGCCGAGCAATCACAGGAGTGGTTGTGTCTGATTCACCAAGTTCTGGTTGTAGGTCAAGAATATGTAAAATGACTCGTAAAAGAGATAAATAAAGTTTTGATAGATAGTTAAAAAGGTAAAGGTTCCCCTTGACAATTTTTTTGTCCAGTCGTGTTCGACTCTAGGGAGCGGTGCTCATTCCCGTTTCCAAGCCATAGAGCCAGCGTTTTGTCCGAAGACAATCTTTCCGTGGTCACGTGGCCAGTGCGACTTACACACGGAACGCTGTTACCTTCCCACCGAAGTGGTTCCTATTTATCTACTTGCATTTGCATGCTTTCGAACTGCTAGGTTGGCGGGAGCTGGGAGAAGCGACAGGAGCTCACTCCGTTGCGTGGATTCGATCTTACGACTGCTTGGTCTTCTGACCCTGCAGCACAGGCTTCTGCGGTTTAGCCCGCAGCGCCACCACGTCCCCTAAGATAGATAGTTAGATAGATAGAAATATAGTACATATCTGGTGAACTCTGTACCTCGAGTATTTTATTTTTCTTTCTTCAGTCTTTGGATTTGTTTTATATTTTTTTCCCTTTTCCTCTTTTTTATATGTGTTATCTATTCTGTTTTGAAGCAAATGAAACAAAATGAACTGAGTTGTTAACAACAACAACAACATATCTGATTATAGGCAGGGTGCCCAGGTTGCATGCACTCTATAACTTGTCTGTTAGCCACAGTAGTTCCTCTTGCATGCGTATAAGCGTCCTTAGGATTCTGTCTTTTATTATTAAGATTATCTGGGAGACGGACATCAGTCTCTTAGTCACTGCATCGATCTGAGGTTGAGAGGGTCAATTGTCTTTCATGCTCTGAGCTCATTCAAGGGAAAGTGAGAGATAAATATAAATGATTTTTCAAAGATCCACATGGGCCAGAATCCTATTGCTTATGAACTCTGGCCTAAGTGCAATGAAGTAATTCACGGAGGTAAATCATAGCTGGTTAAGGAGGTGCTTGTCCTATTCCTTGTGCAGCGGCCAGTCACACCACTGGCTCGAGACAAAGAATGCAAGCGCTAACTCTATCTAGTGGTAATTCACTATTGTGATTTGCCCTCACACCTGTAAGTTACAGGATTTTGGCCTCCCGTTTGAGCAAATGTTCTTTCACTTAGTGGACTTTCTTAAGGTGAAATAAGCTAAAGCAAAGTGCCATTTATTTCCTTTCGGTGGTGGCAGTGAGGCGCTTCAAGAAAGTCCACCTGACAGCCAGCGACTGCAAAGCTTTGAGCCAAAGCCAAGAAGGCATCGCGTCCTTGACACAGCCTTTCTGTCCGGGGCAAAGCGTCCGAAACAGCCACAGAAGCCTCTACCCCACGCCCAGGAGGAAGAAGCATCCAAGAGGCACATCAGGTATGTGTCTTACCTTCCCTGAAGCCGTGCGAGGTCTGACTGCAACAGCCGGGCTGTAGCGACATCCTGGTCTGTCAAATTATCCCACCAATGTCCTGTTAGGTTTAAAATTCACATGGGCTCAATTGCCTATGCTGGTAAAATTAAAACCTAAAAAAATAACGGTGGCACTGTAAAGGTTTTGTTGCTGTGGTTTAGTCGTTTAGTCGTGTCCGACTCTTCGTGCCCCCTTTATGGACCAGAGCATGCGAGGCCCTCCTGTCTTCCACCGCCTCCCGGAGTTGGGTCAAATTCATGATGGTCGCTTCGGTGACCCTGTCCAGCCATCTCATCGTCCGTTGTCCCCTTCTCCTCTTGCCCTCACACTTTCCCCACATCAAAGTCTTTTCCAAGGAGTCTTCTCTTCTCATAAGATGGCCAAAGTAGTGGCGCCTCAGCTTCAGGATCTGTCCTTCCAGGGAGCACTCGGGGTTGATTTCCTTCAGTATGTAGAGGTTTACTCTTATATCCATGTGACCTTTCTTGGGGACATCTGCTTCTTCAGACGTGAAGTCTTTAGAGTGTCCCCAGATGATGATGATGATTTTTATTTAGTTTTTTGTTTCTACTTTTGCTGTGCCATACTTTCAAGACGAACATGGCTACTTCTTTGAAAACCTTTAAATAACGGGTTGACCAAGGGATTTTTTTAAAAAGGGACCTTGTTATTCTGTGTTTTACTTGTGTTTTTAATTTTGTTCTTATTGTAAGTGTTAATACAATACTGGTTGAATGTTTTTTTAAATCTTGTAATCATTTGTTATTTTCGCTTTTTAATTTTATTTCTTTTAGGTGGCTTATAAATATTGGAAGGAAGGAAAGAACGGGAAGGGGAAGGGAAGGAAGGAAAAGTTGCAGCTTGGGAAAAGTTCTTTTTCTGGACTGTATACACCCAGAATCCCCCGACCCTTTCCTTGTGGTCCATGACTTCATGCAGGATTGCTGGGGTGGGGGAAAAAAAATTAAACCCTCTTCCCAGCTGGTCCTTTTGTTTTGGTAACCCCATATGGGGGGGCAGAGTCGGACCTTCCTTCCCCACCAATGTGTGGAGGTCTGTAGCCCTCCTGCCCCTCCTCCTGTGGACCCAGTTGCGCTCCTCTGGATTGAACATTTTCATAGAAGAGAATCGTAAAATAGGGGAGTTGGAAGGGGCTCCTAAAGCCATCGCGTCCAACCCCCTGCTCGAGGCAGGAATCCAAATCAAAGCAGACCTGACAAAGATGATTGTTCCATTTTGTCTAGAAGGCTTCCGGCGTTGGAGCCCTCACCACCTCCTGATGTCATGGGTTCCGTTGTCATACTGCTCTTAACAGTTAGGAAGTTTTTCCTGATCTTCATCGGAAATCTGGCTCCCTGTAGCTTGAGCCTATTATTACATGTCCTGCGCTCTGGGATGATCGAGAACGGATCCTGCCCCTTCTCTGTATGATCACCGTTCAAGGATTTGAAAAATGTGATCCTATCACCCCTCCGTCTTCTTTCCTCAAGGCTAAACAGACCCAATTCTTTCAGCCTTTCCCCATAAGCCTTGGTTTCCAGCCCCCTGGTCCTCCTTGTCGCCCTCCTCTGAACTTGTTCCACTTTGCTAGCATCCTTCTTGAAGTGTGGCGTCCTGAACTGGACACAACACTCAAGGTGAGGCCTAACCAGTGCTGAATGCAGGGGGACTAGCATCTCACGGGATTTGGAAACTAAACTTCGATTAATGCAGCCTAAAATGCCATTTGCCCTTTTGGCAGCCGCACAGTATTGTTGGCTCATCATATTCAGCTTGTGATCTACAACCGTTCCAAGATCCTCCCCATTTGTAGTACAGTGGTGCCTTGCATAGCGACGATAATTCGTTCCGCAGAAATCGCTGCAGAAAGAAAATGTCTCTATGCGATATTAAAAAGCCCATAGGAAAGCATTGAAACCCCTTCAATGCGTTCCTGTGGGCTTCAGACTCACCCTTAAGCGAAGATCCTCCATACGGCGGCCATTTTCGCTGCCCGGTAAGTGAAGAATCCGTCCCAGAAAACAGCGGGCGGCCATTTTTTTACCCGGTGGCCATTTTGAAACCGCCAATCAGCTGGGGGAAATCATTGCTTTGCAATAATTAGTAAGTGAAACAGGGACCCGATCAGCGCAAAGCGAAAAAAAAACATTAAGACCATCGCAAAAGCGATTGCAAAATCTTTGTCACTATGCGATTTCATCGTTAATCGGGGCGGCTGTTAAGCAAGGCACCACTGTATTACTGAGTCGAGTATCCCTCATTTTGTACCGTGCCGTTTTCCTCTCCCTAGGAGTAGAACTTGGCACTTATTCCCTGTGCAATTTCATTTGTGCCCCTCTGTTTTAGAACAAGGTTAGCAAATCCACTAGTATATTCTGTCGTCTCCTGGCTGGCGCTGTCTGCCATTTTCTTCCTTTCTGTCTCTGTTGGAGGAGCGGGCCGCCAAAGCTGCATCACCGACTACTTCAGACGCAGAAGCGCCTCCTCGAGATGCCTGCCTGACATGTCGAGAATCCGTAAAATCAAAGCCGAGGAGCCACTGGAATCCTTCAGGCCTCAGGATGAGGAACTCTTGAGTGACGAGGATTCGTGCTCCCTTCTGGAAGGCTACGTGGCCCCGGAGACTTCTAGAAAACGGCCGTGTTTCTCCCCGAGAGACCACCACAGCCACACAGGCAATGGCCAATGGGACCCGAGAAATCAAGGCTTTTCGGAGTGCCTGCTGGGCGATGGAAATGTTCACCAGGAAGCTGACGGCGTGGAGATTCACCCGCTTCCGGATGTATATTTTGGGCTCCTGGGAACGAAGAACTGGGACGTGCCCCGGGGATCCATGGACCAGCTGCCCGATGAAGTCCTTCAGGAAATCTTTGCCTTGATGCCCGTTGTGGATCTCTAC